AGATTAAAGCCATTTTAATTCTCAAAAAAGAAAATACAATGTATAAATCAATATAGTATATATCCAATCGAATTGTATTTCTCAAGGATCAAAATGTACTCAGCTGATAGTAATATAATGGTTTACAACTCAACTTATATATGCTATAAGCCTTGAAATACAATCCTTTTAGGATTTATAAAATAGAGAATATATAAAATGAGAACTTTCTGCTTTTTCTTTTCTTAAAAGAGCAGAGAACAGGAGCGAGAATGGAAAAGTTAAGTAGCATGTTTTGAAGATATCTTTCCATCTGACTTAAAAACTAATTGTTGACCTCTGTTTTTTAAAAATGACTTTATTTTAGACTTGTCAAAGCCTCCATTGATGTGTACCGTCTCAGTTTTCTCTTTGAGGACAGTCACCTATACTACTCTTTTTTTTTACTCTCTGCACTTTTATTCCAGGTGGACTCCATAAAAAACTGCATCCAGGGAACACAGTACAAGATTGTACTTGATAACCATAGACACAGTCATAATAAAATGAACACCTTTTTGGTTGGAGTAAGTCAGGTGAATGTGAATTTTTGCATGAGATCAGCATCTATGTAAATCAGGGATGGGGAGTGCTCAGCCCCCTGGCAGCATAGGCCCGAGAAATCATTTGGTTTGGCCCTACCAAGGCAACGGCAGGCAGGATTCAAAATTCAATAAGTGTAGATGCTTTTTTCATAGCAACTTAAATTTCCATTAAGCAAATGATGTTATAAATATCCAAATGGGTGTTAGAGAAAAGAAAGGCCCCCCACATCTGATAAATGATATTAACATAATTGAATTCTGTGAAAAAAAATGTTCCCTAAGTCTCTGTTTCATGTTTCAGTGTAATCACCACTTACTAGTTGTCTTAGAATACTGAGCTTCAGATTCTTAACAAACGTGTGAGTTTTAGATTGGTTTTATGTTTTGTACATTGGTTCTGTCACCACCTGTGTGATGACACATCACAGATATATGTCACCTTTTATGATCATTTTATTGCAACTCAGCAAACAGTCTTATGGACTTAGCTACAGTATTAAAGTCTCCATTTTAAAAACGATGTAATCTCATTCACTAAACAGTTCTGTACATTTATTCAGACATCAGTTTTAGAAATTTTGAGACATATACAAGCACAAAACCAGCAATAAACAAGCTGCTGTGAAGATTTGGCATGATTGATGGTCTAAACTTGTCATAGAAATTTTAATTATTCCCTATAGTTTTAGTAATAAATACTCTGCAGTCTCTCTGTGTCACTCATCTTCCAGCGTTCTGTATATTTCAAGAACAGCTTTTGGAGTTAAAGTGTGAAAATAAGTAGTAAATACATGTGCCTAAAATTGCAAAGCACAACATTTTCCTATTTTCTGTCTCTTGAGTTGCTTTCAATACAAAACAATTATTAAATAATTACTGTGGGAAATATTTAAAACCAATCACTAATTTGGGGTCAAAACTAACAAAAATATAAAAAGTGTTAAGTAAATAAAAAGCCTAATTTGCCAGGCTTCATGGCTCAATTGGTTAGAGCATCATCCCATGTACCAGAAAGGTCAGGGCACATATCAGGTTGCAGGTTTGATCCCAGGACCCTTCCTCCTTCCCTCCCTCCCCCTTCCCTCCCTCTTTCTCTCCCCCCACTCCCCTCCTCCTGCCCTTCAGCATGGTCACAGGGTCTTCTGTAGTTCAGTTTTACATGAGCTTCTGCAATTTTTTCCCCCCTGTAACATGGTCCTTAGATCTTTTGGATCATCAGAAAGTGTTAAGTAGAAATATATGTGCACTTTTTAAATAGTTATTTACATATGGCATGATTAAGCACTTGTGTTTACTTGAAAAATAGCAATAGGTAAATCTGGTAAGTTTTGAGGTAACACTTTTTTTCCAACTTAAAATATCTTTAAGAAATCCACTAAACCTAAAATGCTTTGATAAAAAACTGTTCTTATTGTATAGTATGTCATCATTTTCTTCTATGACTCGGCATAGCTGTATAATCTCATGGTTTAGAAAATCAGGACTCCTCTAAAATCTAGGAAGGCTGATTTCACCTATATTTCCATATTTTGCTCACTCGTTTCTTTCCATGTGGTTTCCTAGATATTTGTTTACTTCTGTGTTTATTTTTACCAATACAGTGAAAATTAGGAATTGCCATAATTTATGCATGTATTTTTCCCCTGCTCGGATATTCGCATACACTAAGTACATATAGGAGAGTGAATTTTAAGGCCAATGAACTTCAACATAGAAACAGACTCCTCTTGGGCAGTATCTATGGATGTCCACCTCCTAACCACATCCTCTGCCCAAATTCTCTGAACCCTAACCACAACTCTCCTCCAAAGGCTAAAATTATTGGTGACTTTTAGGTCGTGTTGGGTTTTCCTGGGCTAACCAATGGTTGCCAAGGTAACAACTTTATGTGCCATTGACATGATTCCTTCCTTGTCCACTTGCCATTTGTCCACGTCTACCAGATCTCCTTGGACAGGAATTTATTTTGTGGGGAATAAGTTTCATGCTCATTTATCTTTATGTATTTTTATGGTTGGGTAAGAAGGGATTTTTTTTTTTTACAGTAATCTCCATTACCATTTGGATGTATCAGTCCCTTAAATTATTAATACAAATAAAGCACTTTGCTGGGAAGCAATATGGCACTATGCATTGAAGATAAATTCATATTTTTGTAATTAAATAAGCAGGGACCATCCATTTTATCAGCATGATGAACTGTAGTGGCATAAAGTACTTCAACCATATGGCGGTGCCTCACAGATGGCACCGGGGTTTGGCAGGCCTTTATTCATCCACCGAGTAAATATTGAACACTTTCTGAATTCTAAGTGCTATATTAGGTGTTGGAGAAAAGTAACCCAATCGTGCTCACACCATTGGAATCCACATTGCATGTGTATCTATCTGATTATAACCTAGGGTTAGGGGACCACTCAAGTGTCAAAGCATTTCTATTACAAGCTCATCCTAAATGCACTTTCTTTTTCTAACGTAGGTAGTTTTGTCTTATTTCCCATGAGGTGGCTGTGAGATCATCTGATTGGTGGCATAGAGAGATTTCACCATGGGGTTTTAAGATAGATTACTTAACACCATTTTTCCAAAAACCTGGACTCTTGGAACTACCATGAATTAACATAAGCACCCACAGCAAATCTTGTCTTTTCACTCAGTTTGGCATGGCCGTTTAAACTGATGATTCCTGGCTGAACTGGGCTGGTGTACAGAGTAATCTAATAGAAACACAGTACCTGTTAAAGTTAATTCTTCTCCAAATGCCTACTAAACTCAAATGAAAATGTTGTTACCATGAAGAAATATAAATAAATCATAAGGTGTTTGTTTTTAACCATGAAAGCAATAATAAAATCTGAAAATTAAAATCTTCACAAGAAAATGTTAATTTGTTTACAAAATGAATGCTCCCAAGAATACAAAGCACATTTTGTGTAGGCCTAACTTAAAAGACTGTTGTGTTTGCTGGGGAATTTTTTTTTTAAGTGCAATTCTCAAAACTTAATATATAATAGTAATCTACTTGTGCCGAAAAGATATAAAGCTTAGTTTTAAGGTTAGTATAGATGTAGACTGTAAGAAAAACATTTCATAATAAATATTTAGATATGCTACTCTGAGGAGAGGGCAGAGAAATTGCTATGAGAGAGTCAACATTATTGTTTTCTTGTCCAATAAATAGGTCAAACTATGGAAACTCTTTATGGAACCCACAACATTTTATTGGTTTTAAAATCTGAGTTAGTGTTTAAATACCCAAAAGACTGGAGAATACTTTTAGTGAAAATAACCAGAGAAGATAATGAACCAGAGTACCTATATTTAGCGCTCAAATCAGTCCTTAAATAGCATTCTGAAAAGTCACTTCACTGACCCTCTAGATCAGTTCCATGAATCTTCTCCAGGCTTGTAGGAATTAACAATGTATGCAAAAAAAGGAACATTTAGCAATTTGAATAGTCACAAGTCCTCCCATATTTAAAATAAATGAAATCAGCTTATTCAGATAATATGTAAACCTAATTCTAACCCAACCAAAACTTAAACTTTGTAATGTTAGCAGCTAATTTACATATTAAACAATACTTAAATAACACCAGTACCAACGAATATTGTGATATATATATATATTTTGTTAATCCTCACTTAAGGATATATATTTTTTCCCCATTGATTTTTAGACAGAGTAGAAGTGAGGGGAAGAGAGAAAGAGAGAGAGAGAGATCAATGTGTGAGAGACAAATGGTTGGGTTGTCTCCTGCCCAGGGGTGAGGATCCTGCAACTCAGGTAGTACCCTTGACGGAGAATCAAACCCTCAACCCCTTGGTCCAAGGGTGGATGAGCAAAATCAGCCAGAGCTTATGGATACATTTTTAAATCTTAATTCAACTTTTTTTTTTTTAAGTAAGGGGGCAAAAGAGTGACGCAGAGAAAAAGAGAGTAAAAGAGAACACAGAAGAACAAGGACTTTGAACAAAAACAAATGGCTGCCTTGTCTTTGATGATCTATGCATTAAATCCCCCGTGTGCTCAGTATATGGGAATATTAACTTTCCCCACCCCACCCTCACCACAGACTAAGATCACTTATAAAGAATCACATATTCAGCTATAAATGGCAGAGACTCAAAAACACCAGATTGTTATTAATATATTTTCCCTTTGTTTATGTTTCAATGCTTCTGGCACACAGGGGATTATCTATGCTGAGACCATTCAGCCTTATATCAAAAATTTTACTTCAATGCATACACAGTGGCATGCCAGAGATGCCTAAATTCACAGTAAGGTTTAAGGCTACTCGTTGCCGAAAGCTGTGAACATGCATGTTGATTAAGTGTTCCCATTCATGCTCCTGTCTGTATTACTTCATTGGATAATGAGATAGGTTCCCCTTTCTGTCCATCATTAGAGCAGCTGGAGACAGCATTGGCTACCTGGCAAAACTTCCGAAGGAGGATCTTTCTTAGCAGCAGATAGACCCAGGGATCCAAGATTTGGTTCAGAGAAGCCAGGCGCACAGCTATTAAGAAGAAGTTGCATTCCTTCTGCTTTTCTGAGTGCGTCTTGCAGTGTTCAACTGATGTCTGATTGAAGATCATTTTCAACATCATTATCTAAGAAAGAGGGACAAATAATTGTTCCAAAGATTAATAAGGTCATATGCATCTCCTCTAAATAGCACTTTGCACACAGTCGGTTTACAATACATTGGTGGTTGCAGTGAAATGAATTTCAAGCAACATTTATGCTCACAGAACACAGCCCTGAATTATACAAGACATTCCTAGGGATGTTCCCACATTTTTGGCTATTTGACAGGATGCAGCTTTTTAAAAAGTGTATGTTCTCAGGCTCTTGATCCTTGGGATTTAAGAAGATTCAAAATAACATATTTCAAAATTAGCTCAAGTTATTTGTCTTGTTGCAGAAAACACAGCATGCTGATACCAAAATGAGAGCTACATAATCAAAATGCTACCTAATCAAAACATATTAAATCTTAAATTTCAGTAGTTATAACTAAAAATAAATATTACTGAAGAAAAAACGGAAGCAAGAAAGAAGAAAATAATAATAATATTTTCTGAATCCTAAGAGTTTGCCAACTACTGTGTCAAAAACACATAATACAATATACAGATGATGTATCTTGGAATTATACATACACATGAAATAAATCTATATAACTGTATTAACCAATGTCACCACAATAAATTCAATAAAAAAGAAAAAATATGTAAGATTGATATTCTTGCCATCTTCTTTTTACAATTTCAGAAACCAAGGTTTGATGATGTAAAATGGCTGAGCCAGACTTAAACCCAGATTCACTGACTTCATATGGCACATGGCATTTTACTTTTTTGTCTCTGCCTCCTCGCCACATATACACATAGACTCCACGAAGGCAGATTTGGGGCTGCTTTTCCCCTACGAATATATTTACAGTACCTAGACCAATATTTAGCAGGTAGTGACCGATAAGTATTTGTGAATGAAAATATTATATGACATGTATGTGAATATGTTATGTGATATATATATATATATATATATATATATATATATATATAATGTAATGCACATATTTCTATTTGAATGAATAAATATTTGTGATTTGCCCAGAAGGGGAAAATTGAAGGTTCATATGTATTTGAAAAATAATCAAACTCGTTAATCATTATAAAAATGAAAATTGTGAAAAAATAACAAACCCTTTTATACACAATAGTTTCACAAAAATGAAGAAATGTGACTTTTCCAAATGTCAATGAGAATGTGGAACAGAGAGGATTCTTTTACACATTGCTAGAGAGAGTGTGAGGTGGAGCCACCACTTGGAAAACAAAGGGGCACTATTTCATCTGCTGCCTCCCAGCTGCTCTGCTCCTGGGAATATGCTGGCAAGAACAACCCAAACATAGGTTCACGTGCACAAGCAAAGGAAGAAGCTGACATTACAACTGGTTTCTAAATTCATCTTTCTAGGTGCCTGGCTATTTAAAGTGCTTGAAATGTGACCAAAACAAATCAAGATGTTGGAATATGTAATGACTATATACGAAAATGGTAATATTTTCGTATATTGCATTAAATAAAATATAGTATTAAAACATCACTTGTTTCTTTTTTACTTTTTCTATTATATAGCTACTAGAAAATTTAAAATGATATATGGAGCCTCTATGAGTTGCTCATAGCCCATTTCTATTAAAACCACTGTGCCTCTGGAGGCCCACACTTCCTGGGATGGTCTGTTCTCAGGTTGCACATTCCAAATTGAAGTCAACATCCCTGAGCATCTGAAACACCTGAATTGCAAACCCTCATTCTTACACAGTCGCCTGGCCTTTTTGAATCCTCCTTTGCTTCATCCTCTGTGCTGCCTCCAATCTCATGCTAGTTCATCTCCTTCACGCATGTGAATTTAGTAATAACAGACACTCATATGATTAGCACATCACAGATGCAGCAACCTAAATCCCAGCTCTGATCAATCAGCTATAAAAACTTCAACTTGGTCTTATTGGACTGAGTTGAGTCAGAGATAATTCTTAAATCAATTATTGGCAAAGGAAATAGAAAAAGCCAGGTTTGGTTTATCAGACACATTTATTGCCTGTGACTTACCCTGGGCCTTTGACCAAATTAGCACCTAATACCTAAACAAAATTATGGTCCTATAAATAAGAGGAGGGGAATGGGTAGGCAACCAGTAATTAGACAACACATCTTCTGAGTCCATAATTTCTTTCAAATGATTTTTTCCAAGGGATTTATTCAATAAAAGCAAAAAACAGCTGCACAAATAATTGAATGTTCAGTGAAGCATTATCTACACCATAAAAAACTGTGAACATACGAATCTCTAACATCAGGAGCACAGCTTGATAAAATACAAATATTCCCTTCCTTCTGTGTGGGTCTCAAAGCTCCCTTGACCAGTTGGTGATGAGGCTGATCAGAAGGCGTGACCGTGCAGCGTATCCATGCACCAGCTAAAGGGAAGCTCTGGTGTTTGTTTGTCCTTCTCCCTTGCGTAAGGGGTAGAATAGCATGTTTAGCTCACATAATAGCGTGTATATAAGAATTAAGTGAAAAGAACAGATTATAAGATAGTATTATGTATGTAAACCTTATTCCCTTCACTAATAAATATGAATTTATTATACTCATTTATTATATACCAAATATGTTTAAAATGAATATATCTACATGATATCTTCTAATGCTGGTTCATAGTCCTGTGAACTGAACACTACCTTCCACTATGGTATGCAAATGACCCAAAGATATCCAGGTCTCGTCCCAGGAACCTGTGAATATATTACCACACGTGGCAAAAAGGGACATAGCAGCCCTGGCTGGGTGGCTCAGTTGGTTGGAGCATTGTCCCAAAATGCCAAGGTTGTGGGTTGATTCTGGTCAGGACACATACAATGAATGCATAGATAAGGGAAACAACTGATTGATGTTTCTCTCTCTCTCTCTCTCTCTCTCTCTCTCTCTCTCTCTCTCTTTCTCATCTCCTTCACTTCCTCACACTCTCCCTCCCTTCCTCTCTCTCTCAAAGTAAAAATAAAATAAAAATTTAAAAAGGATGTAGATGTGATTAGCATTAAGGACCTTGAGGTGAGGAGATTGTCTTGGATTATCCAGGTGCGTTCAATGTAGCATCACAGGGTCCTCAATATCTGAGAACCTTTTCCAGCTGTGGTCAGAGGAAGACATGACTACAAAAGAATAGTCAGAGCAATATAATGTTGCTGGTTTTGAAGATGAAGGAAAGAAACCATGAGACAAGGAATATAGATGGATGGCCTCTAGAATGGAAAAAAGCAAAATAGTCAGTCTCACATTCTCTTTTAGAGCTTCCAGGAAAAAAAAAAAATGCAGCTCGATGGACACTTTGATATTAGCCCAGTGAGACAATGTCAGGCTTCTAACCAACAAAACTGGAGGAGAAATTTGTGTTGTGTTGTTTCAAGCCACCGAGTTTATAGTAATTTGCTAAACAGCTACCACAGGAAAACTAATAGACCCACAGAGTGAGCACTCAGCAACTGTTGAGAGGGGATGGGGAGGAATGAGCTTGAAAATGATTTATTCCCTCTTATAGATAACACATCCTGGCAAGCTTGTTCACTTTCTTAGGAAACTTTAACATAAATAAAGTAAAAGTAAACTTCATCCTCACCCGTCTAAATTATCTCAATTTCTAAATTTGCAACATGTAAAAATGAATTCTTTTTACTCTAGTGACATCAATTGGATTTCAGTGTATTTAACTAAAAGGTATAAAACTGTATTTTCCATTCAGTTGTCTATTTAAAAAAGATATGTGGCTAGTGCCCTGCCAGTGTGGCTCAGTTGGTTGAGTATCATCCCATGCACTGAAGTCACGGATAGATTCCCAGTCAGGGCACTTGCCCAAGGTTGCAGGCTCAATCCCCAACAGGGGGCATGCAGGAGGCAACCAGTGGATGGTTCTCAATCATAAATGTTTCTCTCCCTCTCCCTCTCCCTCCCCTCTCTCTCTCTCAAATCAATAATATACTGATTTGAAAAATACTTTCTAGCTCTCAAATCATTTGGGAGAGAGCTAGCAAGTATTTTTTCTTCTTTTTATAAACAATTGAAATTGGAAAGGTTTTATCTAGCTCTTTCAGCCCTTCATCTTGTCTAATAATTAAATACATTTCACCATTAACCATCTTCCAGAAAGTGTTCTGAGCCTGGTTTAGAATGATCTAAAAACTCATTTAAATTACATTTCCATTTTCCCTTATATAACAAAGTATTGAATTTCTCCAAGTTTTTATAATCAGGAAAATTTACAAAAAGTCTCTTATTAAAATGAGATTTAAGTCACTTTATACAGTTCTCCTTGATTATTATAAAATTAACTTTATGAGGCTAATAATACTAAATAATTTTTATTGGGCTAATATAGGTTTCATATGCCTTACATGGATTAGTTGACTGTAATTTCCAGTAATTTCCTATTGACAATGCAGTGATTATGGCATTATAAAATCCAGCTCTGTAAGCAAGAGCTGGCACGTGGGGAGAGACATCCCAGCTTTCCCCAGAAATAATGAGATGTGCACTAGGAAGATAATTTGAATTAGAGGCAGTGAGTATGATATTGCCATTTCCAAATGGCAGCAAGGATGGAAGTAGGACCCCAATTTCCTCATCTAATTCTGAACATAAATGCAAGTTAGCATCCATCTGTTGGTGTGCTCCTATGTTCAAGGAGCACAGTTATTATGATTTTTACAAATATCTTTTAGATGATCAGACTTTGGGAGGAAAAACTTTGGTGTGAAAATGCAGAGTTCTGGTAGAATTAACTATTCCTGTTAAGTCCAATTTTATTCCTTTTAAAGGGAGGACAAACAAAAACCAGGATGCTGGGACAGCACAGAGGCTAATTTTTATTTTAGCAAACACATGTATACGCTGTACCACTCTCCTTCCAATCAGCCTTATATGATGAACTAGCTGTCATAGGAGCCTTGGGACCAATTCTGGCTGATCAGAGGAGCTGCTCTTCCACCAGCGTTTCCTCAGGGCCCACATGACTCTCCCAGACCTCAAGCCTCTCCCC